CGGCCCTCCCACCCCCGCGCCCCTCGCCTGCTCCTTGTTATCGTTTGTACTTTTTTCGGCGGACGCGGGGCGGGGCGGGCGCACCGGACTTTACGACTTCATCGCTACAGGGCCGACGCAGCGTCACGCCAGCAACGAATCCCGCGCGCGAGAAGGGTGAAATTGAATTCTGGGGTGGTGTACGGTCACTGAAGTTCAGTGAGGGAGAGAGATGGAAAGAGGGAAGGTGTAGGTGAAAAGTGCACCACCCTTTGGGAACGTCCAGAAAGTACATCCTTTCCTATCAGATTCATTAAGCAAGTTACAGGAGCTCGGCGCCTGCGAAACTTAACGTAGGCCACCGCGCAGTAAACAGATGCACTGCAGGCAAAATGATGCCTACCTACCAGGCGCTATGAGTGCTTGAAGCGCGCGCGGGAAGGACGCTGCGTTCATTCGAATGTCGCGGTCACACTAAACGGCCAGCTAATGGACCCGGGCCGGGGTTGACATCCAACACGGTGTCGTCGCAGGCAACCCTCTCGACCCGGCCCCTGGCCGCCCCCGCCGCGAGTCCGTGAGCGTGGCCGCGCCGCTGGTGCCCGTCTGCACGGTCCGCACACCCGCACACCTCCCCCCAATAACAATGCACACGAGGCAGCGCTCTTGTTGTTGCAGCCACGGCTGCTCGCTCCATTATCGACGGCGTCCTCCTCCTCGCTCATTTCCGCGCGCTCCGGCTCCGCGCATGCAGGCTCCGCATCGCGCGTCCACTTCAGTCCCTTGTTTTCACAGCTCGCCCCGGGGGCTATGGCGCGGGGCGGGGCGCGGCGCGGCTGGCCCGGGGGCTTGTTAGGGAATATAATGCGGCTTGTTCACACAGAGCGTCAATACGCCCGCGGCCACAGCACGCCCCCCCCCCATGGCAGGGCAGGGCACATAGCTCACAGCAACAACGACGCGGGGTGTTAACCCGGTCGGTGAATCTCCACGTCGGGTCATGTATACGGGTTATGTACCCGTTCGAATCGACATGCTTCCAGCTTCACTTATGGCAGATTCACGTGGAAGTTTGCTGTCGAAAAAGATAAAAATTGAGTTTTGGGTCCAGTAAAAGAGAAAAACGGGAAGAAAGAAAGGGGAAAAACCTTCCTCGAAAGTACAAAGGAGTGCTAAATTTAGTTGGAAGCATATCGCCTGAGTTATTCCGCGGGCAGTATTGCCAACAGGCCGTTATGATGGACTCAACTGGGACGGGGTGGGGCCGGCCGGCCGGACAGCTCCGGACTCCGGACTGGCTCCGGACACCTCCGGCACTCAACAAAAGCACATAAGCACACCCGCCCGCACCCGCCCCGCCCCGCCGAACGGGGCCGGCCCGCTGTGTAAACATGACAGCTACACACATCTAATCAATACGGTATACGGTACGGTTCGATCTCATTGCAGCCGGGCCCGGGCCGCCGCTTGTGTGATTGCCCTGTCATCGGCTTTAAAGCTCATCGGGCTCCACCGGGCCTCTGATTACCTTGCCGTCCGCCGCCGCCCCGCCCCGCCCCCGCTAGACACACACAGGCCGCGTTCGTTTACAAGTACACTACCTTGCGGGAAGAGTACAGGGTCCTCTTCAGCAGCTCCTCAAGCTGCCTCGCACGGTACACCGTGCTGCCTCGCCTCGTCCGTCGGTCCTCCGCGTGGTTTACTTCTGCCGCTGTTGCTCCTTCGACCTGGTCCAGAACAGCCCCTCCTCAATGCAGCTGGATGTACTTCCTCCTCGTCCAGGGGGAGCATCAGCCCGCTCCTGCCCCTTTTCTCTTGGTCACCGGGCCGACGAGATACTCGGCGGCCGCCTAAGTGGCCGTGCTGAGGTTCGGGACACGACTGAATGGGTCGGAAGGCGAGGAGGAGGAGGAGGCCCGACGGGTACCCGAAACAGCTGCTCCGTCCGGCCTGCTGCTCCACTCCTCCGCCCTTCGAACCAAAAGAGCCGGCCGTCTGTCCGCCGCCCCCTCCCCCCGCCCCGCCTCACCGTCCGGCCCATCGGTTTCTCGGCCAATTTGCGGACTTTGGATCGGATCAGAGGGCAGTGTGGGGGCCCATCGAGGTCCGCGCTGCAGCTGGACTCGAGTTCGAGGTGAGGGACGCCGCCGGAGACGTTCTCAGCTGCTGGGCTCCGGTAGGTCACATAAGGTTGAAGTTGAAGTTGGGGTTCGGCGGGCTTGAGGTTCACCTTTGACTGGCCTCCAGTCGTCTCTAGCTCCAGCAGGCCTCGAGTCGTCTCCAGCTCCAGCAGGACTCCACCTCCAGTCGTCTCCAGCTCCAGGCGGCCTCCAGTCAGCTCCAGCTGGCCTCCAGGTCGTCTCCACAGCCTGGCTGCAAGGCAGGGCTGGAGGTTCGCCTTTGGCCTCCAGTCGTCTCCAGCTCCAGCAGGCCTCCACCTTCAGTCGTCTCCAGCTCCAGCTGGCCTCCAAGTCGTCTCCACAGCCTGCCTGCAAGGCCGAGCTGGGTGGCTCGCGCGCACCCGGGCGGGAGACCCACCCGCATCAGGCAGGATAGCAGGAGAGATTCCGGGATAAAATGCCACGCGTGCGGCTGCCCCGCCCCGCCCCGCCCCGGAGACTAAAGTGGCTGGGCCAGCGCGCGGACGGGGAAGGAAAAGACTCCGGGAGGACTCGAAAAAGATCCCCACTAATTAATTGGGCGGCCGTGGAATTGAGAGCTGCCGGGCGGGCCGGGGCCGCCGGGCTGGCGCGCCACCATGTCGGGGGTGCGGTTATTTATTTATTTTTCAGAAGCCGCTGCAGCTCGGCCGCGTAATGGCTCATGCAGGCGGCGGCAGAGTGCAGCGGCGCGGCGATCGGGGCTGTCGCCAGGTAGGACGTCGATCCACTCGTCATTGCCGGCCGGGTCATCGCTCAGGCACGGAATTACTTTCCGGCAACAAAAAATAACCCACACGCTCACGTACCCCCCCCC